CAGGAATAAACCTGGATGGCCAAGTCCCATCCTAACTAACCCAGGTAAGCGGTTTCTGGGAGGGAAAGGACATTATCTAGTTCCATGTTAAAGCAAATTGTTCCTGCACACACACTTTTCTTGGGGTTTTCTTCCAGAAACTCACTCCTAATGGTTAGATATTGCCTTCTAATTTTCAGAAGGAATTAGCAGTCAGCTGACGGTGGTGTTCACATGCCAGCACTGTCCATTAGCTTATTAGTTTCTTCTCCCAGTGGTGTTTATGCCAGGGTATTTACAGAAAGCAACCACGTCCTTTCTCAGCTTTGTTCTACTCCCTAAATAAGCCAACTTCCCAAATGTTTCCTTACAAACAGACCGTCCATTTCCCCAAACACCTTCCCAACAAGTTTTTCAATTTCTTTTCCACACAGTGAGAAGATCTGCACACATCATTCTAAGCAAGATCTCCCTGTGATGTACACAGGGATTTTAATATTTCCATCTCTACTAGGCATACCTGGAGCTGGAATTACCTTTTCCTGACCATATTACCTTGATGGTTCAGTTGGCCTATGATCAGACCTAAATGTTCTTGCTTTAAGTTGGCCAACTTTTACTTTACCAAACTCCTACGAGTGCCCAGGCATAAAACCATACATCCTCAATCCCAGCTCATCTGGAGGACTGCAGTCCTCACCAGCACACAGCCCTTCCAGGGCTCTGCTCCAGCTTTCTCCTGTACCACCCAACTTGCATCATCAGGAAATTCCTTTACTACATCAGCACTGGAAGGAAGGAGGTCTAAAGGAAACATTTAAGCAAGTTCAGTCACAAGACCTAATCTTGAACACCTCCATCAGTGACCTCCTTTGGACCAGCACTTCGCTTACAGGAGCAGCGCCTTAAAAAGCTTCGCAATCTTGGGAGATTTGGCACATCCCAAAAGTCATGAAAGTGATTGCCCTGCCCCCGGTGATTACCACCAGGCAGGTCATTCTTACTGGCTTAGGGATGTGACAGTTCAGTATTTGCAACCATGTGCTTTAAATCAATGTATTTCACTATCTACAGCATTCTCCTCCCCAAAGGTTTA